ATTTTCTATAGCTTTTCTTACACACTGAGCAGTCTTCCTGAAGATCTTCGAAAATAATATTTATAAACGAAAGTTAACACCAGGACATAGGTTCATCCATTTGACTAATTCTAAGTAGGACTAGGCACACGTCCTGCAGTCTACACCTATCTAAAATCCTAAATGTAGTACATTTGAAACGAATAAATTCTCTTTTGATCATGTTTTTATTTGGAAATATAACACCTGTCGTTCTTATTCATTTTTATTATCATATGATTTTTCTATTTGTTTCTAGACAAATTTGTCATTAAGTTTTGTGTGCTATGCTTCTAGATGTGTTGAACGTTTTATGAACAAGGCTATTAAAAGAAGGGTAGAGTTTTATGAGTAAAATGACAATACATGTGACAGCGACAAAAGTGGCATCCTACCAATAAAGAGTTAATGAATTCATAAGACGATGTTAGTCTAAACAAATCAATCAGCCTACAATACATAATAATTTCTATAATGTCATACTTACTTACGCCTGTTACCATTTGTGAATCATAGGCCGCTGACCAGGATACTCCAATCAACTCTCTCCTGGACTCTCTTACCTGGTTGTTACCAAGTCCTAGTCATCATTTCGACGTCTGTCTCCGATTCCCGACACAATGTGTTTTTTATTTGCCTCTTTTCTTTTTCCCCTCGAAATCCCAAGCCAGGGCTTGCCTCGTAATGTAGGGTGATGATTTCCAAAATGTATTTCCTACCCAACTGCACCCTCTTTTTCTAATTTCTTCAGCAGGAAACTAGTCTGTTCTCTACCCTAGCAGGTCGTTACTGATGGTAGTCGGCCAACGGATCTCGATTATCTTGCGTAGACAATTGTTTATAAATAAATGTACTTTTCTCGAGATGTCTGTAGTAGTTCTCCAAGTTTTAGCTCCGTACAGTAAAACTGTCTTGACGTTCGTATTGAAAATTCTGACTTTGTTGTTAGATGACGGTTGCTTTGAGTTTCATATGTTCTTCAACTGTAGGAATGCTACCCTTGCTTTGCAAAATTGTGCCTTCAGATTTGCATCACATCTTTCATGTTCATCGATGATGCTGTCCAGGTACGTGAAAGTTTCCACAGCTTCTCCATCAAGTGTGATTGGGTTGGTGTTCTCTGTGTTGTATTCGAGGGTCTTGCTTTTTCCTTTGTGTATGTTGAGGCCTACTGATGCAGAGACTGATGCTACATTGTTTGTCTTGACCTCCATTTCTTGCTGTGTATGGGATAGGAAAGCTAGGCTATCTGCGAATTCTAAATCGTCCAGTTGCATCCAAGCTGTCCATTGTATTGCACGCTTTCCCTCAGATGTCGAGGTCTTCATAGTCCAGTCAACCACCAGAAGAAGAAGGAAAGGGAGAGAGTAAGTAGCCTTGTCTGACACCGGTCCTCAATTGGAATCAATTTGTAGGCTAATCTTCATGAACGACTTTGCAGTCCATCGTATGAATTTCGGATGATGTTGGCGATTTTCTCAGGTACACCGTAGTGTCGAAGAGATTTCCATAAGGTTCTTCTATCCACACTGCCAAACCCCTTCTCATAGTCAAGGAAGTTGATGTATAGTGACGAGTTCCATTCATTTGATTGTTCAACAATGATTCGTAATGTCACGACTTGATTAATAGGTGACCGATCCTTACGTAATTCAGCCTGTTGATTTCGAAGTTCGGCTTCTATCGAATCTTTCATTAGGTTCAACAATCTTCTTCATTGCAAGAGTACAACAGAAAGTCTCTAGAAGCTAATCTTTTCTGCCCAGTTTGTATCCAATGGGTTTCACTTATTCCAAGCACAGTTAGGTTTTATCTTCTTATTTCTGAAGCCATCTGAATGGTCCTTCTAGTTTCCCACGTTGTATGTTAATCGTTGTTCTAGTTGTCAGAAGCGGCATTGGCCTCATGATTTCCGAAGAACCTTTACTTTCATCGTGAGGCTTCATAACTCTATTAATTGAAGATCCTTCAACACCCAGAGTAGAGTTCAAATGGTTAAAATTGTTTTTGATAGCTAGAGATTTTTCACCAGGTTTTTTCTATGGGATGGGGATCGCTACCCTCCTTTATCCGAACATAGGACCGGCAGTAACCCTGGAAGGGTTTCTATAATGTCATACTTCCAATTAAATGACATTCTGCTCAAAATTCTATAGTACAGAACTGTGCTTATTTGCTCCCAAAACTAAATAGAATAGCCCAAAGAAATGTTGGAATTTAAACAAGTGGCTTATAAATCTTGTAATGAGAAATAGATTTATTGAATCTACATTAAATTTGATCAAATAATGCGTGAACTATTTAAAATAAAGCAGTGGTATGATGCTACGCATACAACAACCTTCCCATTATGAATTTATGAATAACTTTTTATTTATTTAACTGCTTTGATGGATTTGATGAATTTGAATTTATTCAAAGAAACATAATTTCTTGAAAATATATTTTAGTATAAATAGACAAAGTAGTTTTTAGAAATAGCCTGAATTAACACTTAATCAAATGCATCTAACTGTATTGAAATTCTAAAAAAGATCATCCCTTAAATAAAAACTAACAATATAAAACATCGATACTGATAAATTATTCACCAAAATGGTTCGGTATAATATTTGATGTTGCCATGGAAACTGAATTAGCGCTCAAGTTTAATGATTTCTTGTTTTAACATTTTATTTTTTTATGGCTGTATATTTCCATGTATTGTGCATTAATGACTATAAAGTATTAGTTATGGTTATATTTTTTAAACTTTGCAAATTAAAGACGAATTATAGTTGAATGGTTTACCATGAAAAGTAATTCAAATTAAATACAGTTTAAAAATCGTTAAAAATTATAGAACACTGGACAGTCTGAAACTCCTCAGTATTGAGTGATTGCGATTGCGAATGGGATAGAGAACGATATCTTTAGACAACGAAGATGGGATTTTGAAGAAATAACTAAAGCAACGTAGAACAAACACATGTTTAAATAATTATAATTATATTTTGCCAATTTTACTTTTAGAAAGAAATTATATAACTCTTAACATTTTAAGTTAAACAAATGGGTGACTATAATTTATGGACGACCTTTGAGCGACGCTAAAGAGACCTTGAGAATGTCCACCTACATACTACGGCTAAATGAGGGTTATAAACGAGCGTGAGGAATTAGGATTAATATTTACAGTTGATGGTTAGGATTAGGAATCAGATGTAGTTTTCATCACCAACTGACATCAGTTATAATTTTAAAACTCTATTTAACCAAATGGGTGGATTTCGCGCCAAAATTCAAAACCCGTTATCCTAAATCTGATTGTTTCGTCCATAAATTATAGTCTCTCCAAACAAATGTACACTAGCAATAGTAACAAACGTCAAACTGGGGTATAAATTATACTGTAATGTAATTTAATAAACGTTGAATATCGATCAATCAAATCGAGTTACATGCTTTACAGACAAAGTTAAATACAGAGACGATCAAATCTTTTTGATTTAGCTCATTACAGGGACATAAAAATGCACGTTTAATCATTTTTCTTAAAAAATTAAACAAAACATTCATCAGTCAATAATGTTAGAAAAATAGGATGTTGCACTTTGAAATAATAGAGAAAATGAAATTTTACATATGAGTGCTATGGAAACAAATAAATATACGACAACATAATGTTTAAGAATTGAATGAGGAGAGAAAGTTAGTTCATTTGAGCCACTGTTATCGACTTCTAGCTATGCCGCTACTAAGTGTACGATTATTTTAGCAAGCAACCTTAGAACGTCCATCAAAATGACGAGAACATCTCAGTATGTAAATACTCCTTGACTGTAGTTAAAGACAAGAATAAATGATTCTAGACTATGGTCTAAAGGTATCAGATTCAACAAGACACGTTTTAGTAACTTATTTGGCAGGGTTGCAAACTACTGAGGAATGCTAGACTAGGATGGAACAAATGCCCATAATTTTTAGATTTTCAATGGTTATGCAGTGAATGTCAGTTAATGATGAAACTGAGCTATCGAAACAAGCTCGAGAAAACGAAAATCACATATATGTACGCTAAACGTACAAAAAAGTAGAAAGATAAATCTGTGTACACAATTTACACAAGAAAATAACCCAAAGGTTGTTTACTTCCTAAAATTTGATTATTTAGCCTTAATAAAATTGACCAACAACATATATACTTTTATCGCATATTTTAGTTAACAGTACATAGGATACACTCCAGGATTAATAAAATCACGGAGTAGATTAAAAATAAGAATTTAAAAAATTGTTTTTTCTTCAAAAACACCATTATTAAATGATACGAAATGTCTGTAAACCTAAGCACCCTTCGGATGGAATAGGACTAGTTTTATTCTTTCTCATCTAGTCGATTAGAATCTATACTCATTTAGACTGTCTATTTTATATGCCGATTCTAATTCCAACTTTTATCGTCTTAGTTCTATTCCTTCTCAGCTTATTTTACGAAACACTAACGTGACACATTAAATACTTCTTCTTCAGACGGAATGATCACTTTGTTATCATAGTCACTTGTCTGTTTGGAAACGTGAGATATGACTATCTGTCATAATTTTTGCCTAAACTACTCCCTACTAAGAAGTCGAACACACTTCCAGAGTTCCAGTGAGAAGATAAAACTTCAGATGTTAAAATACCCCTTTTAATGTTATTAAAACATAATCTGTCCAAAAATAAGTGACACTGCCTAATCTCGAAATCATCGGCCATCTGGATAAACCTAAATGATTAAAAGAATAACATACTCATCATAGAGTTTGAAAGTGTTAATTTCAATTCAATCTTCAAAGGAATAAAAGTTATATGCTCCTGAGAAACCCTAAGGTGTAATAGTCTTTATTTCACATCTTGAAAACTATCATAATCCGTATCAAATAACAACAAAACAGACAAGGTAGGGAAAAAATGTATTACCATTCACTAACTGACACAGTAATATCAGGGATACTTACATTTAAATTAAGGTCACCAAGTGGAGTAGTGTTCAAGACTAATACTGTTACACGACTAATTCGACGTACTTCCAAGCCATCAGGTAATATACCAACAGATTTACTTGCGCTAATTAAGAATAATCTCCAATCGCTATCTGTAAAATATAAAGATTAGCAGATAATAACAGAATAGTGAGTTACATGTGTTTGGGTCATATGCTAGTGAAGGAGCCTAATAAAACCTTGTAAGTACTAGCAATATTTCGACATATACCGTTAATATATTAGCAATAAATGATTAAATTCGGTCATAAACATCAACAATGGGAGACTATAAACTAATTTGAATAATGCTAGACCCCAAAAAGCACATTTGGACAATTTGTGTGTCAATGATCCCGATCTATGCATGGAAACCTACAAGTAAACACAACTTAATTCTCTTCAACCAAACGCTTTATTATGCTCTTAAGTAAATCTTAATCCAGCCTGCAAACAACTGAGAAGACCAAACAAGGTCAACTGTTAATTCCTCGCTCCAATCAACCACTCAACATGAGGAAAACATAAATATTTCTACTTTATCGGGGTATTGGCTGGAATCAGCCATTCACGATGTGAATTTTATGTCTCTTAATTCAACTATAAGCGTTCCGTCTAAACATTCAAAAAAGGATCATTAAAGTCCTTTTGGGGCGACTCGAGTAGAGTATTGGGAAATAACCTAGTTCATATCACATAAAAGTAAAGCTCTTCAAGCTAAACGAGACCGTTTCTTACATGTTTCTTGGTTTACGGAAGTCATTTTACCAATGAACGCTGTTTACGAGTTCGTAAATTTACCGAAATCAGCAACTTTGTTGTAAATTTAGAAAAAAAACAGGAGGAAAATATCGTTTCGAAAGCTTAGGAATACTTCCGTATATTTGTGTTTAAGGAGAGTCGATGTTACAAAAGGTCATCACAATAATACTAACAACAAGTCATACTGTATTAGGTTACTTAGCTTGTGAGAAACTACTCAAAGTCACAAAAATTCAAACTATTCACAGCATATTTATAATGAATGTTAAACCTTTTTAGTGGGGATCACATGTTTATACAATGTAAATACTATATATTTGATAAAGCACATGTTGTGTGTGTAGGCAAATTTTGATCGCATGTTATTTAATTGCTGTTTTGAAAAGAGAAAAAGTAGATTTTACGTTGTAAAATATAATAACATCAATAAAATCTACTATAATAGCAAACCAATCAATCAATCAACCTAAGGTATGAATTAAACTTTTATTTTGATTAACAGCTAAAACTAGTTGCTATTTTGAGGCCCTAATTTAAATTCTATACAGATATTATATTCCATCCAGTATTAGTCCGTGTATCAGTTCAAGGTTGTTGACCCCCTTATGTCTGCACATCCGGACAACAAAAGCGAGTTAACACGATCAATAGCTAAAGAGTTTAAACATTAGTATTAGTAGTTGTGACTAAAACTGAAAATATGACAGGAATGAATGAGAGTCAGGGATAAAAAAGAGATAAAAGTAGGGTTTAGATTTACAGACGAAAAATGGCCAAAATGATTATTAAGATGATATAAAGTAAAGCTCTGCGAAACCGAATAACTGTTAGGACGAATATAGTATATCAAATAGGGTCAACGCACACTTTCACCGAGCTCTATACTGACGACGACTGAGAAATGCCGTGAATTGAGTTTTTAATTCTGTATTTAATTAGCTTGGAATTCGTTTTCAGTACATTCTGCTACCAACTGGAGAACCACTGAACAGAAGTTTCGTCCTAATTTGGAACTATTTAGTACTCGGTAACTGTGTTGAATAGGATAGAATTGAAATATTTGAACATTAGATTTCGAGTCACTGACTTGTTATTATAATGGTCGCTAAAAAACGCCAATGTTAGTGGTTTGATACCATGTAGGCTAGTGAGTGAGGAAGTCTAAGGATCTTTGAACTAGGCTGAACAGCTGCAAAATACTTCTTAATTTTCAATGGGAACTATTTCCAGGATGAATACTTATTCAGCAACCACGATAATACTCGGGTTTAATGACTAAGATTTAGTTTTACTTTAAACAGAGTTACCTTTTACTAGTGTGTGTATAATTCTACTGCTGACTAAGAATGGAATACAGTAAGAATCAAGTGACATATCAATCGACTAAAAGCCGTCAATTCTCGATCATTAAGGCTGTTTTGAAAGGTACATTGTGAACATTTTGTCTTTATATTATGAACAAAATATAACACAAGCGACTGGATTAGACTTTAAAAAACTATTACAGATCATTATAGGATAAAATTTGATTTTTTAAACCTATAAATTTATTTAATTAACTACGCCACCACTCCCAAAAAGGATCGGTAAACCCCAACGACTGTTAATCTTCAGTTTTCTATCTGAACAATCATTATCGCCTTGTACAAAATATGGTTTAAAGCCAAATATGTAAACTTTTACTTTTGTATAATTAAATTCTTACTTAGTATTGTTTACAATGATTTTTACTCATAGAATTTACTTACCTGAATGATAACGGATTTTTCCGATGACGCCGTCAATTTTCCCCAAGCAAACAGGATTCCATTCGTTGAATACGTCAGATGCTGGAAAATATGTTATAATTTTTTTAAATGAGAGAAATAAACATTCTGACAGCTTTATTATTAAATCAAATTAATGAATACATAAACCAACAAAATTTTATTTATTACTGTGATTATTCATCAAGCAGACAATGAATAGAATTGTTGGATAAACATTTTCTAAACCTGCAAATAGAAGCTATTCATCCAAATAAAGAAAACATAACTATAGAGAGGGAATCTTTTATTTTGACAACGTAAATGGTGTTTCATTTTATGTAGCTCATTGTAAGTACTGCAAATTACCTATCTAAAAATAAAACACTAAGCTTGTACAGTTTATATGGGGTTCTTTTGGTTCCAAATTGATTCGCTTGTGTTTACAATAGATTAGGTGAACAAAGGTTAGGACGAATGATCATTTACACTTGTATGAAACTTATTGCTACCCATGTTTCAAGAACTATTTGATTCTAAGCTGTCATACGTCGAAGCATCTCACTAGCCCACTCAAACTAGTTAAAGTAATACACACTTCATTTCTAATTAAAGGACAAACCGTTCATTGTAACACTTCGAGTGTCAGATATATACAAAAGAAAGTGGCTTAGTGGTTAAAACACCCAAGTTTCAACTATTAAGTCACAAATTGGAACGCATTAACACTTATGGTCTAGTCAGCCAGGTAGTACTATAGTGAACAAGAACACGAGTGAGAACAATCGAATGTATTTGACACGAAATTACAGAGCATCTCACTAAAATCTGAGAACCATAGAGTAAGTAGTTAATTTGCAAAATATCAATCCATCATCTCAAACTTCACTGTTCCTTTTGCAAATATCAGTCCGTTGTCGCAGATTTCATTGTTCATGCATTTTCATACCAATTGTGTTTCGTTCCCATTATTTCCCTCTCGATCTTCTACTGAAATACATTCTATGACTGACCACCGTTATATACTACTTGTGTGGATATAAGTAACCCACGCCACAGTACTACTAGTGCTCAATGTTGGTTAAAGCATTGTACGTAAGCCTATGCATGTGCGGTTATATTTGAAGCCTAGTCTATGCACGTGATTTTTCAGATCTCTTTAGTTCTTCGTTTTTCGAAGTAATCATGATTTTAGAAAGTTTAACGAATTTAATTTATACGAAAATTTGAATAATCATTTACAAAGAAAGAAACTACAGATTTTCATCAAACGTTCAACAATCACTATGTGAGGTGAAACAATGATTAACTGGGCACATTAATGTTAATTTTTAAGATTATGTGCCATACCTATCATGTAAGAGAATAAAAGTAGATAGTATAGAATGAGAAGTAATTACCAACTTTATAAATAGGGGAATATTTTTATGATGCATGATGTTTTGAGAAAAATGACTGAACAGCTATGAAAACGGAGTTTTGCAGCTCAGAAACGCATTTTTAGTGTGTTTTCTAAACAAGATAGCTTAACTGTGAAGCACTCACTTTCGTTTTGTACATAAGCAGCCGATTATTCCACTTCCCTACCATAGAAAACTACTACACTAGTTTTAAAAGCTTTTTAGTAAAAAAAAGCTTAAGTGCTTGTGATACTAGCGAATTGAAAGAAACAAATGTCAGCTATATAGCGATGCAATGGTGGAATAATACGGACGGGACTCGAAATATTCGAAAGAAACGTTACTAATTCGTGATCACGAGCAATTTAGTTCAATGGCAGCGTAAAACGGACATTTATGTCTGTAATACTGAGGTCAGATATATGACTAGATAAGTCCACCCAACAAGTCTTTGGAATGGAATTATAATAAATTATCAAGTTATCACTAAAATCACTGGCAACTGGTTGTTTCGATTATTATTGAGATTTTACTGAGGCTTATGGCAAGAACAATCCAACTAGATAATCCACGATTGTAGTAAAATATAAAGACAATGAAGGCCGAACTAAAGTATCCAGAGACGAAGGAGTATTATTTTTTATTTGCACCATACTGGATTGACATTTCAGTTTGTCGAATATCTTCCTACGTTGTGTTGAGTCTCACGATATCATTCACTCAAATCAAATAGCTAGTAAAATGCTTCATATTGGTCATCAAGGTACAGATACATACATGATGAATAACACTGAGCTACTTCTTGTCCAGACACACAATAACTTACGAATCAAAGTTAACCAAGACATAAAAACTACTGCACACTCCCGTGCGAAAGTCGCCAAAGGTTTTAGAACATTATGGTCAATACGTAGGGCCTTTAGTCATGTTGAAGCTAAAACTTTTTTGATTTTGTATATAGTATTTGTGCATCCTAAACTTGAGTACTGCATACAAGCAGCTAGCTCCTGTTTAAAATAACGGTGAGCTTTTGAAAAAGGTTCACAGAACAGCAACTAAGCTGATCCCCGGAATAGAGAACCTCCCGTATGATGCCCGACTACCTAAGCAAAACCTATTTCCGTTGTCATATCGAAGAACTAGAAGTGACTTGATTAGCTCTCAAATTAGTTAGTGATAAATGTGCACCGGATTTACACCCATTTTTGTCTTTTAAAACAGAGAATTTACGAGGACATTTCAAAAATGTCCACAAGCCGAGAACAAATTGTCAGTTGACTATCAACTTTCCCATCGAATCATCAACAAGTGGGATTCATCACCATAACATGTGAATGAAACTCCATCTGTTAACATTTTCAAAAGAAAGTTAGGTTAACTGAGACACCATCATTGCCAGGACTAACACAGGCCATCAAGCCTCCTGTCCTTTCCAAACTGAAAAGTGAGTTGCATATCACGAATTGAATTTATGTGGTCATTAGCAGTCATGAAGTGATCAATGTGGAGAAAATTCTCCCAACCCTAGAACGTTATAGAACTGGGAGGGACTTCTATACATTTCATTTGTACAGGAATTCCTGCTTTGAAGCAACCGTAAGCCTGATCACACACTAGTAGCGATAAAAAGCAAATTACTGTAATAAAGAGCATCAAGTGTTCAACTATAGCAATCTTCCACACGTATACGTGTGGTAATGAATATATTCATTTAATGATGCGTGACATTATTTAAGTGATATGCTATAACTTCACCTAACTGTGCTTACCGTGTCTTATAGTAAGCTTCCCAACAAGGCGATCACAATATAATGCTTGACTTCCGTTGACGATTATAAAAAAGTTATTTGTCTCAATTAGATCCATAACAACCAAGACGCTTACACTACATTTGACCTACAAGGTCAAGTCAAAGTATCAAGTTAGCCTCGCATAACTCTATGCAATCTTTCATCATTTAAAACTTTAAATTGTAGGAGCTCTTCATAGGACTTGAATTTGAGTCCTCAAATGATTTCGTCGTTCGAATTTGGATACATCTCAGTGTATCCCTGTCCGTTTGGGGTGAGGGAGGGAACACTATATTTCAATACTCTAAATGGGGTCGAATAAAACTGTTGAAGACTAAGGCGAACAGTCCAAAAATGCACTTTGATGTTACCAGTTCAAGGTTTGCTCAGAAGTCATTTCTGTCGCAAAAGACTTCATAGGGTACTTCTAGATTTCTTTCAACTTGGGATATCCCTAGCGGTGAGTTTCCTGAGTTGTATTCGCAGTCTGTAACTTGTCTCAAATGGAGTACTTCACACTTTGAAGCGTTAAATTTCAGTACGTTGTTGTCTGTCCAACTTTGAAGTCGTGTCTGATCCTCCTGAAGTATCAGTTAACACCTTTGATTGCAAACTTCTCTCCAGAGTTCCACATCATCAGCAAAAAAGTAATAAATCTGACAATACCTGTTGTGGGAGATCGTTTCTATAATATAAGGAAGGAAGAGGTTCTAGTACTGAACCTTGAGGGACCCCACTAGGTGTTGCGGCGTTGTGAAGACTGAATCTACTTGCTTCAGTATGGCAGAATGGATCATATCCGGGTCAGAATAAGTGTTCTTGTTAGGGTTCAGCAGTTTCCGATACTCTAAGTCAGCGCTCAGGTTCACTTATTAGAGTCTAGTTGAGTTGCAAGTGAAACTCTCATCAATGTAGTTAGTATGGGTCGGTCGAAATGTTCAAAAGCACTGTTCCACTAGAAGGTCAGCATCATCAACGTCGTTGTTGGTTGGGCCACTAGGACCAAGCAGATTGGAAACTCCGGATTCGGTTTGTCTAAGAAAGGCTGCGTGACAAAATAAGTCCTCCAGATTCGAGACAAACTATCGACAAGCCTTATGTGGTACCGAAGCCTGTTTTCTTTTATTGCCTTTGTGCTTTGGGTTTGCTTGTTTGAATTACCTGTAGGTGCTTTTTTTACCAGTTCGTTTGTATCCCACCCGGTAGTGTGTTTTACAATTTAGCAAATGGAGAGTACGATTCTTGATAACTGTAGTTTTTTTGTAGTTTTGTGGGACCGTTTGCCGTACAGAATGCTTCGTAGCACATAGGATTGTGTGTAGCAAGAAATATCAATGAGCATCCACATCAAGTTGAGGGTGAACTCCCGAATCCACCTGCTTTAGATTGACCGTAAAGCTGATATATACAACCATTTGAAATTCCAGTGCTAATTGTTGGTAGGATGTCTTACTTCATTTTTGCTGATGATATTAAGGGCTATAACGGCATGATAAGTTTAACCCAGTGGGACCAAGTGTAAGAGGTTGAAATCAGTAATTTTTCGTTTGTAAATACACAGACTAAGAGCGGCGACGTTTGATTATCTCTTGAACGAGTTGCTAACTTGACATTTTCAACTAATTCCAGATCTTCAATACGGTTGGAGAATCGAACCTCAGTAGAGTTGTTACCTTCAATGTACATATGTTCAGCGAAGTTGGCTCTAAAAAGATTGAAGTCTCCTAGAATCAGGATATGATTGCATCCTAGACGAGTATAGCGGTATAATCCTTCAAGCGTAGGATTAGCAAACTCGAGGTCCCCAGTGGGCTTCCTATAGATGACTCCAGCTAGACGACTCGAGTTGTTAGACAACTTTGGTGAGCAGCATACAGATTTATTCGGATTTATTAACTCTTGAGCGTACACCTGATGTTCTACCAAGTAAGATCGCATGTACATAGTTGCTCTATCCCTTATTCCTGCTTTTCTGTCACTGAAAAAAGATCTGTTTGGTATTTTTAGCCCCTGGTCTAATTTTTGAGATATACATGTTTCAGACGTTCTTATCAGATGAGTGTTACTAGCATTATCGAGTTCACAAAACTCAATCATTTTATTCGGTAAACTCTCAGTGTTCATATATGGACAGTTTCTGATTTCAATTTGAAACACGTGAGCTTCCTCGTCCTGTTTATCTGAATGATTCTTCTGTGAATGGACAAGTAACCTACCTACAAAGAGCTTTCCGAGTTACTAGCACTGTCTCTTCTACATTTTCTTTATGATCTTAAAAGTCCACAAGTGGAACAGTCAGCCCAAAATCGCTATCTCACTTGATCTTTGCATAATACAGCCTATCCGGCTGCATGTGTGTCCCAGTTAGTGACCGGAGTCTGTTAACACGAAATGCTCCAGTATGTAAAATCTTCTTCTTTCTTGGCTAGTCGCACCACTTGTTGAGTTAATATGTTCTTGAGCTCCAAGAACTCCTTTATGAATTTTCATTCCAAACTATCAGAGTTTGCGTCGGACACTTTACACACATGATATTTCTTCAATGAAAGAGACGTTTCTGATGAGATTGCGCTCAGAATATGGTATATCAGGCAGTATTCTCACATTACCTTCTGACTCCATCAGCTGACTAACCAGCAGAGTATCTTCTACGTCGGCAGTGTTGGTGAACGTTACACGAAAGAGTATTGGGTGGTTTCAGAGTCCTTGGAGCCTTTCCCCAATGTGAGACGTGTAACTATTAGTGACTCGATTTTGGGAAGTTTGAGCTTCCTCTTCAACTCTTCCCAAAGCACTTTGTCATTTTTGTTCCACAAACTGAAGGGAAAGTCAGAGCTGTCTTCAAGGTTCATGATTATGAGAGAATCATCGCGAACCATGATCGTTTTTCCAGGTTTTTGTGAACGTTGAGGTTGGGGTCCTTTTTGCTTTGCAGATGAAGTGTGTTCAGATTCTCGTGCTCCTGGATGACTGGTTGGACAATCGCAAGGGAAGATTGAACAGCCAAATCCCTAGCTGATGTCACTAGAAGACCTGCATTTTTGTCGGTGACACTAGATCCTTTTTGACTCTGTTGGTGGAGTTCAGTCTTCTACAGAATTTTTGGCGGCCACAGTTGCATTTAGGGAGCCTGCGCTGATAGACATAAGTTTGCTGAGAGACTCTCATGCCGTCGATGGTAATTGGAAATACAGAGTGGTGTCCGTGTCTTATCATAATGTTTTTAAATTTTAAAGCAAAAATTGTTATTTTATACTTCTAAGAGTGGGCTCTGAAAACGGGAGTGCTCTTACTCGTATTGCTGATTTTTGAGTGCTAGAGGTACGTAAATTCCTAAAATAAATCGTTCACCAATCTTCCGACATTGATGCTAACCTCATTGGTGTAACTGGACACAGCCTAGTTGTTTATTTGTTATGGATCTGCGCCTCGCTTCGCGAACTAGAAAAGTGACTCCAACGTCTGTGAATGTCAGTATTTGTCCTACTTTCATACTATCCGCATTTTTGAACTTTCGAAAGAACCAAATTTGCCAGCACGGTTTATTGAGATTATAATTTTTGAAAATCTCTAACCAATCTCTGTTAGCGAACCTTTGAAAATGTAAGCATTGGACAGCCATCTCTTTTTTCAGTATGATATCCTTCAGTAATCAAACAGGTTCGTAAGGAGGCCTTGATTCTTTCATGGATTATCTTGATCGCTAATTGATAGGCGCGAATTGATATGATCGAGAGGTTTTGTAAACGTCCTTTATATCATGAACATTATAGGATGACAGCCTGGTGATTATATTGCGACTTAGTTAGACATCTAAGTGACCCACATGAACATTAGCTTTATTTAAGGTACACACAAAAAATGCAACTCCATTTTTACTCAGTTTTCTTCGGAATCACATCTCGAAGTTGATAGTTGACTTGGTTTTTCTGTTGTGATTGCTAAGTGAATCAGCTTTGTTGATGACTATGGAAACCAAATGATATCTCACTGCAACAAAACCATTTATGAAGAAGAGAAGAGATGTTAGCAGTGAGACCACTGGTTTATGGGCCTACACATGATGCGCCAACCACTTGAGCAAATCTTCCGTAACCCTGATGAAGCTCAATAAAATATCCAACACTTAGTAACCTCGCGCATATCACAGAAACAGTTTGATATGATGGATGATTTTTGTGAATTTAAAGCAGTCTTATGAATTACTTGTATAAACCATCAACGTTGATGATCCATGTCGAACGACTGGTGTCCTACTCGAGTTAAACGGGAATGGTATGACCAACAGCTAAAGTCGAAGTCACACCTCACGGTCAACACCTAACGTGAATTACCCCCCCGCAGCGTTAAGGTACTATGGATGCTTTGAAGACCGTACAACAAAATGGACGTTATTACAGAGACATATTAGTAGGTACAAGCGAATTTGTGGCCATCACCGCATAGGCTAATCCATGGCGTACGATTAACTGATGTGCGTTGGTTATCCTTGACTTTGACAGGGATCGATGATTTGTTCAATGTCCAGTTACCCGACTGCTGAATGATTTGGCTAGGGCTCAGTGACATTTCACTGAACCTAATATACATCCCACCAGATTGAACGGCCGATTGAATCGGTACCAAACGTGTTGAGAGTAGTAGTGAGTCGGAGGTCGCCAAACGATTAATATGAATCCTCCAGGTTTTGCCGAGCTGTAAGACAAATGAAAAGGAGGTGGCAGAAACTGATCGGGAAACAACGAGCAATAATATGTTACTAGGACGTTGGTTGAATGTAAAGCGGTTAACCATAGAAATAATGGAAAAAATATAACGTTTTAAAGTCTTATCAAGTCGCGTTGAAATAGATAGTTTTGACAAGTGATTGAGTTCCTAAGATCGGAAACGTTAATTTTGTCGCAAGAGTAATGATAGTACAGTGATAGTACGATACGTGTATTATCAATAGATGCTTATGTTAATACTCCCATTGCTTTAAAGTAGAAGTCAGACGGTGTAGATGACAGATTCTGTTTGTAAGTGTCGAATTCTATTTATATTTGTATTTAACAGACTAACTGTTTTCTGGGTGCC